GTGATAAGATGACTGGCTCTGTGGATACAGGTAGACCAGTGGATAGGAAATACCTTGACCTTAGCAAGGCTTTTGATATGGTCTCCCACAACATTCTTGCAGACAAGCTAAAGAAGTATGGCTTGAATAAATGGATTGTAAGGCAGATAAAGAACTGGCTGGACTGTCAGACTCAGAGGGTAGTAATCAATGGCTCAATGACTAATTGGCAGCCAATATCAAATGGAGTGCCCCAGGGGTTGGTCCTGGGGCTGGTTTTGTTCAATGATCTGGAAGATGGGATGAAGTGCACCCTCGGTAAGTTTGTAGAAGGCAAAAGCTGGGGGGAGGGGTGGGGGGAGATAGTAGATAGGCTGGAAGGTAAGGCTAGGATTCAGAGAGGCCTTGAAAAATTGGAGGATTGGACCAAAAGAAATCTCATGAGGTTAAATAAGGATAAGTGCAAAGTCCTGCACTTAAGATGGAACAATCACATTCACTAGTACAGGCTGGGGACTGACTGGCTAAACAGCAGCTCTGCAGGAAAGGACCTGGGGGTTACATTGGACATTAAGCTAAACGTGAGTCAGTGTGCCTTCATTGCAAAGAAAGCTAACTGCATTGTGGGCTGCATTGGTAGGAATGTTGCCAACAGATCGAGGGAAGTAATTACTCCACTCTATTCAGCACTAGTGGGGCCACATGTGAAGTACTGTGTCCAGTTTGGGGCCTCCACTACAGAAAGGAGGTGGAGATATTGAAGAGTCCAGGGGAGGGCAGTGAAAATGGTTAGGGGGCCAGGGAGTAGGACTGATGAGGAGAGGCTGAGGGAACTGGGCTTATTTAGTCCGGAGAAGAGAAAACTGGGTGTATCTACACGTTCTATTAGTGTAACTCAACAAACTGTGGTGCAGTTCATGTCCAAGTCACCTGCTCCTGGGCACAGTGTCTTTATATGCACCCAGGATTGCAGCAGTTTGAGCTGGAGTGGAGCAGCCCTGGATTGGCAACAAGCTTGGGGGGTCAGCTCTGGGCTCTGGGTTGCAGTGTTGGGCATTGGGGAGGCTGGCTAGGGCATGAGAGTGCCCAAAGAGCAGAGCCATGTGGCTAGGTGGCAGGCAGGGGTCTAGTCTCCTGCTGCCTAGGCTGACTGGGCACAATTTATGCCCAGGTCACCATTTATACATGCATTTAGGCGCAGTTATTTTCACTTCCATAAGCTAGTACCGTCAACAACACTACTAGTTTACAGTGGTGAAAATTAGTTTGATGAAGTCTAATAACATCGCAAATTAATATACTGCACAGTTAAGTACACATGCAGATGCACCTACTGAGGTGGGATTTAACAGCAGCCTTCAACTACCTAAGGAGGTTTCAAAGAGGATGAAGCCAGACTGTTCTCAGTGGTGGCAGATGACAGAACCAGGAACAATGGTCTCAAAGTTGCAGAAAGGGAAGTTTAGGTTACATATTAGGAAAAACTCTCATTAGGAGAGTAGTAAAATACTGGAACAGGTTACCCAGAGAGAGAATCTCCATCCTTGGAGGTTTTGAAGACCCAGCTAGACAAAGTCTTGGCTGTACTGATATAGCTGGGGATGGTCCTGCTTTGAGCAGGTGGTTGGATTAAATGACTGCCTTTAGTCCCTTCCAATCATAATTTTCTATGATTCTCAGTGCAGATTCAGGGCTGGAAGATCAACCATAGACGTAACATTTTCCCTGCATCAACTTCAAGAAAAGTGCAGAAAGTAAAACTGACCATTGTATGTTGCCCTCATGCATCTAACCAAAGCATTTGACAGTCAGCAGGGCAGGCCTATTTGCAGTTCTAGAATATAGGATGCCCACCAATCCTGTTAAGTATTATACATTCCTTCCATGACAACATGAAAGCAACTGTTCAGTTTGATGAGTCCACTTTCAACAGCATTGAGGTGAAAAGTGGAGTGAAGCAAGGATGTGTTCTTGCCCCTACACTCTGGACTTTTCTTCTCAGTACACCTGAACTGGGCATTTAAAGATATGGAAGGTGGAGTGTACCTTCACGCAAGATCGGATGGGAAAATCTTCAACCTGTCATGACTCAAGGCAAAGACTAAAGTTAGAAAGGTGCTTACCAGTGTCATGACCCAATGATTGTGTGCCCGCTTCGGCACTGCAGAATTATTTCCCGCCACATGGAGCTTTCTTTGCACGGTGCAATTCTCAGCTGCAGAGAGAAAACCCCGGTGCAAAGGAGTTCCCGCCACCCGTATGTAAATTTGTTTCCCACTATTGGCTGTTTCTAAATTATTCCCACGTGGCGGCTAGCAATTGGCTTGCTAGTCGTATAAGAAGTTTGAGCAGTTTCTGCCCAAGTTGTAGAGGACTCCACAACCATCTCGTGGGGACTCTGAGCACGTGGCAGAGTAATAGAAACTTTGTGTGGGTCTCAGAGGAGTTCGGCGGCCTGATCAACCACCAGCCTCTTCCCGTCTTGTTCGTTAAATTCTTCTTAAGACGTATCTACGGTTTTTGCGCGCTCGTCAAAGGTATCCAGAGCTCTGTCGTGTTTGTTTTGCGGCGCCTAGCAAACTCCGTGTGTGTGTCTTCGGGGGAGCCTAGCAAACTCCACTTGTGTTGGTCTGTAACTGCAACTCAAGAAAGTTTTTCCTGCCTGCACCGCGACCACCTACAGTGTAAGTAAAACAATCTTTAATTAACCGCTACGAGTCTGTGCCTAATTCTAGTCCGTCGTGCAAAAGTACCCACCCTACCATTGCGGGCTCCTAGCCACAGCCCGCCACGCGCCCCCGAAAGCCTCGGACCGCTCCCAGCCCACACAATCAGGAAGCTTCTGTTCACCAATATGCTCCCCTTACAGCCCGCTATGAAGACCTGCTACAAAAATCATGAATCACCTTTCAAGAGCTTGTCAGGCATTTGCTCTCAATATCAGCATAAAGAAAACAGTTGTACTAGGACAGGGAATTTCACAAGATCCATCGACCACCCTTAACCAGCTAGAAATGGTTCAAAAGTTCAGCTACCTAGTTTCTACAGTGACCACTAACCTCTCACGGGATGAAGAACTTAATGTACACATCGGAATTGCTACCACCACCTTCAGCAGACTAACTAAAAGAACATGGAGCAACTCAAAGCTTACCACCAAGACTAAAATGCTAGTGCACAATGGTGGGGAAACACGGACAACTTCTACACATCAAAAGAAATGGTTAAACAAAATAGCTTCCACCTAAACTTTTTACATCACATATTCAACATCAAATGGCAAGATAAAGTTACCAATGCAGAGGTTCTTCAAAGGGCAAATTTACCCAATTTGACAGCCCTACTCAGACAGAGACGACTGCATCTGGGCAGATTGGAAGATAGATGTATACCCAAGGACATGTTATATGGGGAACTATTGAAGGGAACAAGCACAACTGGATGCCCCAAGCTTTGCTATACAGTCACATGCAAGTGAGATATGAAGGCATTTGGAACTGATCCTGGCCAACGGAAAACCTTGGTAAGCCATCAGAACACATGGTGTCAGTCTCCACCAGGGCACTGAAGTCCACAACAGGAATTAGCTGCAACAGCTTGGAGAGAAAAAGAGTCTGTAGGAAGCAAGCAGCTCCTGAACCACCTGACTGTGACATATATATTTACAATCACTGCCTCAGATCATGGAAATCTTAGACTGGACTATTCAGTCACATGAGATCTATGTTACAGGCTACAATATCCACCAGCTCTCATGGATGAAAGGATGCTATATGACTATGAAATGGGGTGAGCGGTGCTTTCATCAGCCAATCTGGTTGCTCACCTCCACAGAAAACTAGGGCAATCTCATTAGCCAAGGATCAGGGGAAGGTGCGATGGCTCAAGTGCTTGGCCAGGATGCTTGATCAGAGTCCTTGCCACCAAGCATACCACATTGCTTTGCTCCTTAACCACCCACCCACATTGATTCAACTACTTACTCTGGTATGTAGCCGAAACTCTACTGCCCCTTTTTAAAAATATTTTTCTGGCACTTTTTTTCACTTGCATTTTTTGGTCAATAAAGCTATTACCAACTAGCTATGTCCTCTCTCCCTACTTGACAACGGCCCCTCATCATGATCCCCCAGCCCCTGGGAACCAGAAAACATGAGTCCAAGCATTTCTCTTCCAACTCCAATTCAAACAAGCACACAGAGAATTCTATCATTTGCAGGCCATTGAAGTTTATTGAATTCATGTTTAGGAAACAATGGAAAGCAGAAAGGCAACAGTGCTCCAGCCATGTCACCCATCCCCTGGGACTCTCAAAGCATGGGTGCAAGCATCCCCCACACTGAGAGGCATGTTGGACTGGGTGCTTACTCCCACCCCCTGGTGGCAGAGCCACAGCACTTTACACAATTCTGAACCAGTTCCCAATCAGTGCCTGAATCAGAGTGAGCTGGAAAGAAAAATTCTGCCCTGAATTATTCAGAACCTGAATTTAAATTTCCCTGTATTTCAGGCTAAATGCCCTAATCATGAGGTGCTCTCACATTCTCATGCGCTCCTCCCTCCACATCCTCACTGTTTGTAGAAGCATTTGTTAAAGTTCTAAAACAGGATGGGAAATTAGTTTTTAAACCTCAAAAGTTGGTATAAACCAGCATCATCATTCTCCCATCAGTTTACACAGTACCTCCTTCATTAGTGATTTATTTTTGCTTGCATGAGTACTGTGGTTCCTTTATGTCAGATCCAGATTAGGAAAGGTCACGGCAGATGCACAAGGGTGCTGCAAAAACAAATATTTTATATTTTCTCCTGAAGCTTAGGAATTAAATCCTACAATCAAGCCTGACGTGCTTTGTTTACAACAAGCCCATACTGAGAAGCACAGGTAGGAACAATCATAAAACCAATAACAGAGAACATGACACTTATGCTCTAAAAATATGGAGAGGGTAGGGGAGACGCAAAGTATTTTAACCTTAACAAAGGGACCTAACAGACAAAAAACACCAAACTTTTAAAAAAACTGTTCCACAATAAATTTTATAAGACACAGCGGAAGAACTTCAGCTTTGTATATCATGTAATTAAAACATGTACAATAAGAGCAAAATAATAGGAATGTAGGTTTGTATTCATTTCCAGAAAAGATTCATTTACAATGTACTGAAAGTAAATAAATCTGGCAACACAATTATTTCTGAACAAATATACTTCAAGTTACTGCAGTCCTATACATTGTACTTCAGCTGTCAACAGCCAAGTCACATTCTGTAGCCATCACACTTGATTTACAACATGTGTAACAGCCCACAGATGGTAAGATGCACAAAGCATGTACATAAGATAAAATGTTACAAAAACACTTGTCAAAATAAAATATAAGCAAGTCATCCCTAATATTTACAACAAATAGTCTTAAATTAGATAGCACTCAGAAGGCATCTCCTGCATACAAATGCCGCACGTAGGAAAGAGAGAAAGGCAGCCAATGAAAGGTACAGTATTTGTTATGGCTAAGAACCTTTGGCTCTAAAACTCTAACTCTAAGCTATGATCATTTTAAAAAAGAACTAAAAACATGTAATAGTAGAGTGTGCTACCTTTAATCTCCTTTACTATATTTGACTGTCATATATTAGTATAAAATTTAGCATGGCAAAAGCCACTTGTAAAACAGTCTTATTATTTTGATCAAATAGTTTGATCAAAGCTCGAAGTCAGATGAAACTATTGTTTGGTGTTATCCTAACTTAAGGAAAACATTGGACAAAGATTATACTTTACTGACTTTTCATGCATTAAAGTCTGAGGTTATCTGCTCAATAAGCAATAAGAAATGCTCTTGTCAGGCTGAGCTTTACTTTAATCAGGCACAGTGATGTACTTAGTGATGACCCTAGAACATGATAAAATAACTTAATCTCACAAAAATGAGAGAAAAGTAATGTCCACTGAATTCTGATTTTTGTGTTGCTATGCAAATAAAAAGTTGTTTCTTCATCAGAGTTATGACAGCAACTTGAGATTCAGTTCAAGGGAAGTTTTGATAAAGCAGTTAACCATTACATTTAATTAATAGTTGTTTCCTCTAAACTCTACAATCATTTGGGTCTTCTTGGTTAATATTTGTTTTGACTGGTGGATAACATCGTTGTGTTTTAATTTAACTATGATTTGTTAAAAGAAAAAAACTGCAATGGAATCTAGATTTGGTCTGTTTTGTTATATTTCACCAAACTTCCTGCCAAGTCAGCACATTCCTAAACCACATATAAATAAATGAGCTAATAAAATGCACTCAAACATGTCATATTGGTCTTTTTCATTTGGTGGAAGATTAGACTGCAAAGAAAGATGCATAAAAGATGGCAACAAAACCACTTCTATATGTAAGGTACCATGCATAAAACTGTCCTGAGTAATCTATGTGACAAAATACTTTGTTTTTCATCTTCTTGAAATGAATTAAATTCTTTTGCAGAAGGGAACTTAGAGCATGCAAAAACACAGACATGCCATACTATTCATTCCCAAGGTAAAGGCACCAGCACTGCAGTGCACGAAGAACTTTCGTGGGTATTGACTTTTACGTCAGTAAATCCATCTAGAAACCTATTTTGCTTCTATAAACTGCCACAGGAACCAGCTTCTTGGTGTGGAGTAGATTTTATCTTTGACAAATACACAATCAGAGATGGTTCTTACAAATTCTTCAGAATTATCCCACATAGAAACCTGGGTTGAGTGCAGTGTTGTCCAAACTCTTAGGTTTTTCTTGTACCTAGAACAATTTTTTTCAGTGTGAAGTGGTGTCTTCTAATACGTCTGTATACCCACTACATATATACAACTTTCATTTTTATATATGTACTTGACAACTGACCAGAAAAAGGGCACCTAGAAACACAACAGAGCTACCCATTTTTGGGCAAGGACAAGCTACTGTGCCTTCATCTGAAAATGTATTTCTTACATTTACATAAAGCATTCAGAGTTATTTTTAAAAATATCTGACAAGAGAAAGCTTGTTTTGAACACTGAAAAGGAAAAAAACTCAAACAACCCAGATAACTGTATCAACAACTTTCTTGCCCAGTCTTTAAGATGAATAATTGATAACAAGAAATCATTAGTGAATAATTCAATTTTCAAATATTTCAGGCTGTTTTTCAATGATCAATATGAGAAAGCAGAAGAAATAAGGTTCACCACACAGCAAATAATTCAGATGAGTATCACCAAACTTCACAGTTACAATGCTGAGCTATGTACACAAGGCATTTCAAAAGGTACAATTTTCAAAAACCATATCATTTAAAATTAAAACCACTTGTTAGTAAAAAGCTTGTACATATGTCCATCTAAAATTGAGGTGGATGTGTTCTTTAAATACATTTATTGACAAACATGTACTGGTATACATCTTCATTAAGGTCTTTTATACTTTTAGAAACTGCCACACACTTATTAAATCAAGCAGCCTTCAAATGCCTGGGCTATAGAATACTGGCTATAAATAAAAATGCAGAGGGTAACAACAGAGAGGTGAAAAAACAAATGTTTAAAATAAGGGTTTTTTTAAAAATGTTTTAAAATGCCCAATCACTAGCCTATTGTTTGTTCATCATTTATTTTTATCGATTCATAACAAAGCAGGCTATCTATAGTTAAAGAACACTCCTGAATCTACATTTATCATCAAATAATGCCCCTGATTCAGCAGCAAAACTTTTGCAAGGGTAATTTTTTTTAAAGAAATCCTTTAAAAATCAATTCTGAAACCTACAGGATATGTTGTCCCCACCATACTTGTTACCAACTCTCATCAACATTGAGAATTTTTAATGAGAAAAAATAACAGTGCTACAAATGTCAAGTCCTGTTTTCTCATAGGGGACTTTTTGTATAGGTATTCTTCTAAATCAACTTCATGTCACAAGGAAAACAAAGCAAATCAGGGAAATGCAAACTGGCCACAGCTGATGTTAGGCAAAATGGGTCCTTCTCTTCCAACAGAAATTGATGGTTTTCAGTCAAAGTCATTTCTGATTTTACCAACTGCTTTTGTCATAATGGTGGTGTCATCTTTTTAGATGTGAAGAAATAATCCTTTGAAACCCACGGTCACTTGATCGATGTGTAAAAAGCACAGAATCAAAGACTGCTTCAGAAACTTAATGGATGTTTTAGTTACAGTTCATATATTTTCCAGATGAAACTGTATAAATGAGGAGTTCAGTGTATGAGAATAATATAACAAAAGCTATCTATAGAGTGCCAGTAGTTTTACACGATTTCTTCATGTTGCATTTTTTCCTTGTTCACATTATCAACATTTAAAAAACACTTTAGTTTTTATACTGAAAACATACAGACTTATTACAAGCATAGAGGAGAGTCTCACAGGATAAGAAGTGTGGGCAAGTAATGAAATAATTTCTTATACTGAAGTGCAGACATGCAAACAGTATAGTACGCTAACTGAAAAGAATCACCCAAAGAAACAGTGGGCCATTCCTCTTCACTCCTCCTATGCAGTTAATGCATAAATCTTTGTAATCTATTTTACATTATATTCTGTTCAGGTTTCTATAGTTGATAGTAAAAAAAAATCCCCTGCTCCAACCTAAAAAATAATAAGGCCTTGCAGAACTGTCTTCTGCCAATTTGGCAATTTTATAGAAAAATTGAAAAAAACAGGAGATCAGTCCATCAAATTCAGCAACCATAGCAAAAGTTAAACTACATGGGATTCACTCACCTGATCCCAATTCCTGCTCTGTGCTCCAAAAGGAAGGAGAAAAATCCCCAAGTTCCTTGCAAATATGCCCTGAGGGAAAAAAAATGTCCTAACTTAAATTTGGCCATTATTTCAGTGTTAAGAAAACTGAAATGTTAAAATGACCTCAATGATTCTACCATTAATCCAATACAACTAAAAGAATGATCAAATGCTGCTGCTAGAGACTAGTAGCAATCTGTCTCTGTCACAAAAGGATTTGCTCCTCATTAGCAATGCTTACTGACAGGTCAGTGTTTACTTCAGAACAACCTCGGTTCTTCATCATGGAAGCTCAGGAACTTCATTTTCCTTCCAGACAAGGGTGATATTCAGGGCTAAGGGGAGCCGAAGTGTTTCCTTCCAAAACTGAGAATTCACTGAGATCCAATAAGTTCAGCAACATCCCAAAGATTCTTCTCAGGGAAACATCTCTGCTTCAGCTGCTGTCCTTTCAAAGATTTTAGTCCTCTCATTTCTTGAATGGAGTAAATTTATTGATGGTATGCCAGAGGGATGGCTTGCGCTTGGGTTCTGCCAGGGCAAAAACCTGCTGTTGTGGAATGCTGGTAGGCACGGTGATGTGGCGCTGATGGATAGGGTGTAAACTCTGGTGTGGAGGTGGCATGGGGCACCCATTATAACTTACTCCTGTAAAAGGGAATGGTCAAGAAAACACATAAGACAGATGACAAAGCAAACAACCCACAGAACAGACAGAGAATACCAGGGGACAAATCCAGCTTTCAGTCTAGTCAATGAGAATTTTGCACTCTTCAAAGGCAGGCTGATCAGATCCTACCATATCTGCAACTTTTCTAGTTTTGTCTTGACTGGGCAAAAACAATCATTCAAGTTCAAAAATGTGTACAGTATTTACAGTTTTAGAGTACTGTTGGGAAAAATCGGCAGTTTTTTGGAAAGCCTTTCAGCATATGCAGAGACATTGTCCTTTCAGAAAGAAAGGTGGCTAATATAGCACACAGCTATTACCATTGAAAACCTGACTGAATCTTGCCACCTTCATTCGTATCTATTTAGATACAAAAATACTTAAAATGAATGCATATATAAGAATCTCTCATAATTTAATATCTCATCAAGATCAAAATTTTCAGCTCATGTATTCAACCCATCAAAAAGTGATCAAAGTTGGTTTGAATACTGAAAAAGACCAAAAAAAAAAAAAATCACAATTTTTCCTTGAAGCTACACAAAATGAACAAAAATCTGTTGCAGATGACACCAAGCTGTTGTGCATCTACTACTCCCCCCACAAGCTTAGTTTCATCTGCAAACTTGCTGAGGTCTTGTTTGTTTGGCAACAGATTTTTGAGACAAGAAGCAATGGTCTCAAGTTGCAGCAAGGGAAGTTTAGGTTAGATACTAGGAAAAACTTTCTTACTAGGAGGGTAGTAAAGCACTGGAATAGGTTACCCGGAGAGGCTGAGGAATGTCCATCTTTGAAGTTTTTAAGACCATGCTAGAAAAAGCCATGGATGCGATGAAATAGTTGGGGATAGTTCCGATTTGATCAGGGAGTTGGACTAGATGACCTCCTGAGGGCCCTTCCAACCCTCATTTTTTATGATTCTATGATCTCATCTGACATAGACACCCTATGTACGTACTCATACACAAACTCCTGAACTTCTCTATTCAGTTTCCTCTGTAAGACAGAGATAATACTGACTTGTCCATCTGAAGAAAATCGTTAGGATTATATAATAAGTAGTTTACAAAAGGCTCTGAAATTTAAATAAATGCTAAATTATATCACTTTGACTTTGTCTCCAAAAAAGATTAGCAAAGTATCACAGAATGATTATGTTGAAATTATATCATTTCCTGTAATCAAAACAATGAAACCTGTTTAATTAAAACTTCTTAAATACCCACCTTTAATTTTCCCATGCCTTGACTTTCGGGCATTTTGCATGGCTTGCTTCTTCTGATTTTCTGAAATTTCCATTCCTACATTAAAGGATAAATTAGGGTGTCGGCATTAAAATATTTTATCTGCTCTGTGATGACCAATAATTAAGAAAAGGGCAAAGTAGTAAGTGATACTTCAGTGACTAAGTCATTTTAAGAATAATGTACCTTTTTAAAAAAAAGAAAAAGAAAAAAGAAACAGGTCCAAATTTTACTATATTATACTAGTCTAATTCTAGGGTTTTACAGACACAAAGGAGATCACAAACTGGCCCTCAGCACAGATTAATGCTATTTTTTTTGCGAAATAATACATGTCCTTCGACACTTGAATCTGGTAGTCACTGGCAACTGACAAACCAAATGTCATTTTACACGGCTGATAGCTAAATTAGATATGAAAATGCAAATTAACACTAAAGTAAGTTATGTGAATTTATAACACTCTGGGAGCCACTGTATCTATAAGTGTACTACTGGATTGCATTAAATGTAAATACAGGAGCTGACTGACTTTCACTCCCTCAGGGATAGAAGAGGGTTAACTAAAAGAAGTCAAATTTATATATTAATATAAAATTTGGTATATGTGAAAGAAAAATCAATCCCATAATATTTGTGTGGCAGACAATCCTGTTGAAATAGTGCTCCTGCCTGCAAAGGAAAAGTTACCAGTTTCCCTCAGATCAACCTTTTCAGTATCTATTGTCCTTTAATGTATTAATATGTTATTCATTTTATGTATCCTGATTTGAATTTAATAAAAAATTTAATAAAGCTGAAAAAGCTCTCTAAGCCTATAAATGAACTTTAAAGTAAGGGCACAAACTAGCAAACCTCCATGACAATCTTGAACAAATCGGGTATTGCTTTCTTTTAATCACCATGTGTCTCAACCAGAATGGAGAAAAGGTTATTTCACATATATCTTTGCTTGCACATTTATAGGTCTTGTGTCATTCTACAGGACGGGGTGTCCCCAGTTTGCTCTTGTAACTGAGGTTATGTGTACGAGTGACTGCCATGTGGCTGAGGAAGGCTGGCCCACAGAAAGGTTAGGCACCGATGATGAGTGCTAGTCAGTGGAATTCTTTCCTGCCCCAAGCGTGCTGAGCTTCCTGGAGCTGAAGTGCCAGGACTACAGTATTATCTCCATGATTCTTTTCTCATTTTCACTGATTTAAATCCAAAGGAGACCTATAAAAGTAAATAGGTTTACATTTGTAAAAAAATCAGAATTGGCTTTGGTGTACACAGGAACATTTCCTATTTTCCTCCTGTATAGGAATGCATGTTATAGATAGGTTGGGAATAAAAGGCTCTGGATTGTGTTAAAATGTTATTAACTTGTAAATAATGTCATCTAGGAAATCATATTCAAAGTGCTCCCAATTTTAATTTGCTGCTATCTAAAACCTGAAGCATATTATGAATTCTCTCACTTATAAAGATAAATGTCATGACAGCAGATATCTTTCATTACTTCAACCCCCAATGGTTTTTTCCTCCAACTATTTTCCTTTGGACCATAAAATCAGTGTTATGCTTCCTATGACTACAGTCCTCCTCTATGTCTATATTTTCTGAATCTTTTGTTGCTGTCTCTGTTACACTAATGCTATTTTACCAATCTAAGACAATGAAGCATTTTAAATTAAAAACCCAAATCCACTTGCTCATAGGAAAAATTGTGGCCAGTGGTTCTCTCCAAGACAGTGGTTTTCAGTCTTTCTGGACTCAAGGCCCCTCTCATTGGACTCAAGCTCTCCCGCACTGGACTCAAGTCACCCCTCCGTAACTTAGGAAACTGAGTGGCACCCAATTTGAAAAACTAATGTATATATTATAGTACTACCTTCCTTACAGAGAGGCTGGGCAGTGGGAGTGGGGAATCATCCCAGCAGGGACAAGCCTTAGCCTGTGCTCATCTGTTTACCTCCTTACAGGATCAGATTCACAGGCTCTGGTGGCACCCCAAGGTGCCCCTGATACCCTGACTGCGAATCACTGCTCTCAGATTTGCAAGATCCTGTGCAACACTGACCCTAGCATACAGGTCATACCTTATTTCTTTCCTCATTTATCACCAGGCATTTCTTCTTCTGCAACTTGTTTTGTGTTGGAACGTGGCAGGCCCCCCATGCCTCTGACTGGCTGAGGGGCCCAGTGGCCCCATCCCTTGCCACTGATTGGCTATGGAGGCTGCCTGTCATGTGGCCCCACCCCTCATTGTTGATTGGCTGGAAGGCCTGTCCTTGTGCAGCCCGTACGCTCTAGCTAGAATCAGTCACGGAGGCGTGCCCCCCATGCCTCTGACTGGCTGAGGGGCCCAGTGGCCCCATCCCTTGCCACTGATTGGCTATGGAGGCTGCCTGTCATGTGGCCCCACCCCTCATTGTTGATTGGCTGGAAGGCCTGTCCTTGTGCAGCCCCACCCCTTGTCCTGGATTAGAAAGGGGCAGGTCCACATGACAAGCAGCCCTTGCAGTCAATCAGTGGCAGGAGGTGGGGGTGGCACCTACCTTGCCAGCAGCCCTTTGGGCAGACAGCCCCTCCCCACTTTCCCTGCCCTGACGAGCTAGCACAGCATTCGCTAAATTTTGGGGTAGGGTTCCCCGCCACGGATTTTTCAGGCACTGCCTGGATTTCACAGGCAACGCTGTAGTTCACGGAATGCATAACATAGCAAATTCGGTAGGTACCTACCGATGACTAAATGGATTGAAATAAGCATTCAGGGCTCCTGGGTACATATTCATTACGCTACATGGGCAGCATGGACCTAAGGCTGATAGAGCTTGGCTTTACACTAAAAGTCCTTTAGACTAGTAGACTACCAGTCAACGGCTGAGTTATATTACTTTGTATTTTAATGACTAGTACTCTAAACTCCTCCTCATGAAGCAACTCCTGTCACATCCTTGAAGCTGTATAGAGCCACAGTAACCTATCAGAACTACATGGGTTTCACTGTGCAGTGAGAGGGTGGTTTGGATGGGTTGCATGGTGGTTTTTAAGTCTTCTGTGTGTCAGAGCTCTACTCTGGAGGCCTTTTTCCAGAGGTTTGTCTACATGGAGAGAAGGGAGCACAAGTAGGGGGAAGGCCAAGCAATGGGAACTTAGTTTCTAGTGCAGATCAAGAGCCATAGTGCTGGTTTTGAGACAGTTTTGCTCTTGCTCTGTGGCCAAATTGGGAATACATCCCCTGCACAGTCACTTAGCCCAGAACCATCTTTTGCCATCTGGGAGAAGTCTCTATGCTGCCGTAAGTGTATTCACCCTACCTACTTGTTACTGGCCATGTCTACACAAGATGCTGCCTGCACAGTCATTACTTGTACACGCAAGTACTAAATAACTGCACAGTAACTGGAGTTACTGCACAGTAATGTCACCAAATCGCTTTTAGGCAACACGGACTGTGCAGTAGCTCATTATTACTGTGCAGTAGTGTTGCATCATGCTTCATGCCACACAATGCTACTGCACAGTAGTAATGAGCTACTGAGCAGTCAGTTTCTCATATAGTTGCGGCCACTATGTGGTGTAAATCTAGCCTGCCACAGAGCTGTATCTGTTGCAAACCCCGGCTGCAGGATAATAGAAAACATGCAGATGTTTAGGAAGTGGTGGGCATTCATGTGTGGCAAACAGGCACAATTGTCCAAAGAGACTGAGAATCTATCCAAAAAAGAGAAAAAATTTTCTTGTTCTTTTAACTATGTTTTGTACTGTCAAGTCTTTGCACTCACCCATTTCTTTGTCTTCCTGCACTCTTCTCCTTTCATTTTCACATGCTTCCATCCACCTTTTCTTATCCTCCTGTTTTTTTGCACAGAAGAAATGAACTTCATCTGTTGCTCTATTTATAATTTTAAAAGCATTCTTCACAGAAATGTTGAAGTCCTTGTCTTTGCCATCCTCAGCATCCACAAGTTCCATCTCATCCATATCAATCCGCCCCTTATAGTATAATATGTCCCTTCTCAATAGGTCCTTCTTACAAAACACAAGCTGATGGTCAAAAAGGAAGAAAGTTCTCTGCTGGCTTTTGCCTTGCTTTAACATTTTGGTCAGTTCTCCTGAGTGGATTAGTTCTGAGCTTCTGGCTAAAACATCTGCCCCCTAAAATCGTACATGTGAAAAAGAAAGAAAGAAAGAATATTTTAAAGAGCTCAGCCCATGTTACTAATTAGTAATATTTCTATTGTGCTAATTATTCTTTATATACATTTTTCTTCTGGAAATAAGATTAGCATTTTGCCACATAACTGAAAAGCTATACTTTCATTTCATTTTTAAAAACTATAAAAATAAAATGTAGAATAAATTAGACAAAATTAATTCTGCTCTCCTTTACACTTGTAGAAATCAGGCATAATACCATTAAGCATCAATGAAATGTCAGCAAATGCTAATAAAACAATCAAGAAATCAGAATCAGGGCTAGTAACCCCAATCTAAAACAAACTCTCTTTTGCCCTCTTTCACATTTTTTTTTGTAATCTCAAAGACAGGAGCGCAGGTTACAGCTGTCACTGTTTGTAAGTAATAAATGAGATAATAAGTAACAGAGTCATTGCAAAGGAAGTAATTGGACTTTTAACTGAACAATGACCGCATGAAACACATGCACCATAAACCCACGGAGAAAGGAACATACCCCAGAGGCCATTTAAGTACACAGTACCCAAATTCCTTTGCTGTTAAATCCTTGCAAATTGTAAGGGTGAAACCTACCTCCCAGTCAACAATAGAGACCTGCCAACGTGCAATCTTGTCTATGCTTTCCAGTCTTCGCTTACGCTCATTGATCAGGCATGCTACATTCTTCATGGCTTCGTATGCTGCCTTTATATCGTTATAATCACTGTGAAATGTAGGCAAACAAATGCATCCCATACAATGGATATAACACAACCACAGTTTGTAACAGACTGTACGTATATTTCCCTAGCCAGAGCTCTTAACCATGAAGAGAGCCCAAATCTTCACTACCTTGGATCTTATATATACACAAGTCAATGCTACTGTGTTATCCACTTTGCTTAGAAGTATTTTACCACACAAAATGAGTCCTGGGTCCATTAAAATCAATGGCAAATGCCCAATAACTTCAACTGGAGCCAAGGTTTTACCAGTCTTTTGCTTATAAGCATGTTTCCAGGGGGATTAACTTTCTAGAAAGAGGTCTCCTTTGTTATTTTTAGATTGTATTTTCCTCTTCTTCCTTCTCAATGGGCAGCAGATAGGGATGTGGTCTGATAATAAGCACAGCCCTGTGGCAGCATTCCAAATACAGGGCTGAGGCATTACACCATGTGACAGCATCGTCCCTGGCTTCTTACAGAGAAGTAAATGAGAAATGGAAGGACGGCCTGAAGAAGGGGCTGCTGACTGGCTGAACCACTACATGGAAAAACTCTTAGTTTAGAATGCTTTAGCAATAAGGGTGCTCTTATGGCTTAAGACATATCTTTTTAATCCTCTTACCTGTGCTCTTGGGTAGTATACTTGAGTAATTCTGCAAGCTGAAGAGGGTACTTGCAGATTTTCTGAACTGGTGTTAAAAGAAAACCATCAATAGCAATATCAATCATCTGCTGAAGCAGGCGACAGGCCTCGAAGAAGTGGCGGTATTTGCCTTGTTTCATTAGGTTGGAAAGCTCAACGCAGGCACTGGGATGATTGTTGCAATACTCTGAATAAATGGCAAAACCTTCTTGCTATAAAGGAAAAATAAATAAAAACTTTAGCTAAAACACTGGCCTACAAAAGACAAACAGTCCCACAGAAGTTATAAGCCCTTCTGGTTATCTTAATTGGACATCTTGTAAACTTTGCCCAAAGTGAACAACCACCCATTTGGGAAACATTGGGGAATCTACTTTACAACTGCTTAATGTATACTGACAATTTTATATTTTTACTTTTTAAAATAGGGGAAAAACTTAAGTATTTATTTTAAAAAAATCATTTTTTGGCTCATAATCATAGGGGTTAGCCATGAACAAATATTTTAGATATGTCCCCAAAATCATGATATTCAACCACACTTTAATGGTACCGACACAGCAGCATAGCAACTATATCACTAGCAACTTTACCACTACCAATAGTCTTGGCAGAATTTGGTTTTCCTTGTTTTCATTTTGATGGCTAAAATTGATGTTTATTTTAAGCATTTATTTCAATTTTTATCTCTTGAAATTTTACAGAGTTGCATGAGATTAAGGGTGTTTTTTGATTTTTATCAATTTAGCACACATGCACATGTACATGCATGCATGGCGGCAGCTGCAGAACTTGGGGGCTGTGTTGGTAAGGCTGTGCTCGGAGTGGGGTTTGGAGGAACAGAGCTGGTAGCACCCAGGAGCCTGGTGCCACGTGTTCCTTGCTCTGCCAAAGTCTCAGCAAGGACAGGGGCCAAACTCCCACAGATCTCAGCCTGGCGAGGACTCCACAGGAATTTGGCCCCTGTCCCAATCAACAGGGGCCGGGCTGGGCCTGCCTCCATGGAAGTTTGGCCCCTGCCCCAGCTAGGACTTGAGCAGAGTGAATGGCTGGTGGCACTGGGTCCCCTGTGGCTACCAGCTGTGGCCCTCCAACCCCCCTTGTAGCCCAGCCTTACTGGCTGGGCCCCCAGCTGCTGCAGCAGCTGCTGTGTGTGCATGCATGCGTGCACGTGCGCAGCAGCACCCTGCCGCAGATTTCCTTATCTCTACCCCGGATTTTTTTTTAATGTCTCTTATGTAAATTTTGATGACTACCAACAGAAATATTTTTCTGTCAGTCTGGGAGCATCACGTGAAATTGATGTTTGTTTATCTATGTGTATCTATGAAAATCAAATCCTGCCAACTATCAAAGAATACCAATACAAATATGAAACTCCTATTTCTGCATCATTCCATAGTTATACATGTGTAGCAAAACTGCTTCCACTTTTATCCTGCTGCATCCAGGGTCAAAGTTAAGGCAATTCATCTTATTTTTGTTTACCTGTTACATCTGTGTGATCCTGTAGAAATACAGCAGTTGCTGCATGCTCCCAGCTCTCACCCCTCCCTGTTCTTCTTTTAAAGCAGCTATAAATGTACATGTCCATACCCTAAAAAGCAGTTTTCTTAAAGCAGCCTTGGGAATTGGAAGTTTCTTGTGGTTTCCAATTTTACAGGCATGAATATGTGCCTCCATTCCTACTTTTGTTAATCAACCCTACTCAGTATTTATTTGAGAAATTAGGGGGTTAAGTTTTCATTGAGCAACATCAATGAAGATGTTACTTTGAAGATTCAATCTGTGACTTTTGGAAATGGTCCTGTTCCTCTGTGATGATTAAAGTTTTGAAAAAATAAAATGTATTCATGTACAGAGAAACGCGTTTACCAAAACAGTAAGAATTCTAAAATATTACTCATGCACAGTATCTCATGTAATCAGCATTAATTAGTGAAGCATATTTTCTTGGTTACTTAATACTTTCTAATCAGATTTTAGTTTATTTTATAAGCAAAATGGAATGAACATACATGGTAGAGAAAGCATGACCCTATTTCACTTAAATGAGGCTCTTCTTTGTTGTACTGCTTCTCAAGATCCTTCAAAAACTTTCTTTGGAATTTGTAAATATCTTCAATGTTTCCAAATATCGTGGATAACTGAGCCGTAGTGAACATTCCGGTATGCTTACGGCACTGGCGAATATATCCCTGGAAAAACAAAAACAGAGGGGTTTTTTATCCGTTTGGAAAAACATGAAAAACTTGAGCAGTATCTTTACTAAACCAGCCACTTGGATTGATATTTTACTTTCTAAAGTAAGAATCTGCTGTCTAAAGACAAGTTCTGATTTCAAGTACTTGGGATGCACACATTCAAATTTCAGTCTGGACTGCTACATTACTAATTCTCCTGATCCTAATTCTGTTTCACAGGAGACTGAATTTTCCACGCAGCCAGATGTCAACATTTACAGCAGGGGAGGCCACAAGTGGCACAAGCAGCCTCTGAGTGTGGCCTGCAGCAGACTGGGAAGGGGATGGACAGCACAGTGGCAGATAGGGCAGGAATCAAAGCAGAGCAGCAGATTGGGCTGGGAGTACAGGGTAGGGAGCAGAAAGTAGAGCGGCCAATCAGGCAGGGAAAGGAAACTGAAGCAGCACTTGAGGAAGGTGCAGGGCTAATTGTTGTCATGCCTACCAAAAAATAGTGGCCACCACTGATTTAAAGAATATCTAATACCAATTTCCATCTTGTCTTTACGACAACCGGCCAAGTAGAAGAAGAGTTTGTTTAAGTGTCCGATCTATGCAAACAATTTTGACAAAGTGCCCATCTGTGCTAACCAGACCCTGGTCTTTCTTGTGCTGATGAAACTGAACCCTGTAATAATTTGCAGTCAGATCTGTCATGTAGGTGCCCCTACTTAAGCACTGCAGTTCCTACAAATTAGGCATGAATAAACTACGTAGCCTAATAATGAGGACACTTCCCTAAGAGAACAGGTTCTAATCTACTCCCAGAACTATTCATGCATTTTATATCAGACAGTCATTGCATCTGAAACAGAAACAATCCTGGGACTCTCCCCACCCAGAAGCATACTCCAATCACTTAGCTACAGAATCAGGCTTTCTCTTGCTTGTTCTCCTTCTGCTACCATGACTCTCCATCATGGATGCCCAGTTACAAATATTCAGCTGAAAAGCAGAGAGTGTCCGCACCTAGCCTGTTCTATAAGTTGGTAGCTAGGTACTATTCTGAAAGGTGGGAGATCTGGGTTCAAGTTCCTTCAGGTTGAGGGACTAAACCAGAGCTTTCCCTGTTGGCCAAATGCTCTAATGACTGGGTGGTTATACAAAATGTGGGGACAGCACCACTACTGGCTGTGTTTTGTGTGAAAGTGATCGTGGCATGTGTGCCATATACTGAACTCAGGACTGCCAGTAAGTTAGGACATCTAATGGATCAGGCATCTGATGGCAAATCAAATTGATCTGGATTTTGGGCTTAGTCTAAAGACCATCTTTGCCAGGTCTAGACTGTGGTTCCTGAACACAGCTACTACAAGGCTCAGTCCTACACAGTCAGATTAAGCCTTATTAAAAATTGTTCAAGATGCTATTGTATTTAAAATACATAGCAAAATCTATAGCATGGGCAGCACCCTGATGATTCTGTCCTGCTGCCATCTAAAAGCCCAACCATTCCATTTACAAGCATTTCTCTTCCTTTGGTTCCCTCTGTACAAGCAGTATAAGGGCTCAGTTCAACGCACTTGTGTCAGACTTTAAGCAGATGTCAAAGAATACTCCAACGTTGCTTGGATGAACGTCTACTCTGCATTCTGTACCAAGCAGCTGGTACTTTACATAACTAGGAATAAGAGGGTAGGGATTCTGGATTCTGCTAATATAAATGGTATGCTCCTATAGAAGGGCAAATGAACAAAGGCAGTGAGATACATATGGCAGGACAACAAATATTTGCAGTCTGAAGTATTGGAGATAGCTTATGATACAATACACCAGGGGCGGGCAATAATTTTGGGTGGAAGGTCGCTTACTGAGTTTTGGTAAGCCATCGAGGGACGCATGACGGGCAGCCAGGGGCAGAAAAATATTAATTTTCTAAATTTTTTAGGGGTCCCGTGGGCCAGATAGAGGGGCTTGGTGGGCCGCATCCGGCCCATGGCCGCATTTTGCCCACCCCTGCACTACACTATGCTGGCAGCCAGAAAACATCTGATACATGTACAAAAGTTTATGGAATCTGGCCCATGGAAGCACTGAGCCTGACAAGTGTGACTAGGGGACATGTGCAAGCTCTATACACTAGGATGCCATCAGACCCTATAGTGGGACCCTCCCTGAGAACTGGTAGCAGCAAACAGCAAATGCTACAGTGCAGCAAATAGGTTCAAGCAGAGTCTGGCAACCACTGGGTATTGTTATAAAAGTGCCCCTGCCCTCCTAGCACCCACCTGTTGTAAGAGGTATGGAGCGACTATACCACAAAATAAGGTGGTACCTTTTTCCTATTGCTTTGGTGTGATTCCCACGAGGGAAGTAATCACTATGCTGTCTTGTAACTCTGGATCAGAGTAATATTTCTGACTCAGCCCTATTTGTGAGCCTACACCAGCCTCACCCTCCTGCTGGCACTGCCTTCAGTGATTCACTCTGCTACAGGGAAGCGGAATCACCTTGGCCCCAGAGAACACTATTTATTCCACTTGGAAAACATGTGTATAAGCACTTTTCCACTAAATGCACAGGCACTCTGGCTTTTAGACATACTGTATCAGTAGTGTTGCAGGATTACTAATTAGTGGGCCAAATCCTGAAAGGTGCTAAGAACCTCCATACATCTGTGTGTGTATTTCTGTATATGAGCAATAAGTGTTTAAAGCCAGGGGTGGGCAAACTACGGCCCATGAGTCGAATCTGGCCTGCCAAGTGATTGTGTCCAGCCTGTGACAGGTACCTCAGCCCTGCCTGGTCCCGGTGCAAGGGGTAGCTCAGGCCGTTGCACGTGTGGCTGCTCCTGCTGCCCCTGGGCACCTAGCAGGGCTGGGGCAGCACTGCAGCTGGACTCGCTTTCCAGCAGTCCCCGTAGTGGTGGTACCTTGCAGCTGCAACTGCCAGACACCACCGCGGCCACCAAACCCAGCCCTGCTGCCTGAGCACCCCAGCCTGTCTGCCCCGTATGGCATCACATGTGGAAAAGAAAAGAAGCCTAACATTCAGAAGGGATCTTTTTGTCAATCTACATAATACCCCTTATTTGTAGATTTTGTTAATAAAAAGTTCAGCCTAAACACTCAGCGCACACTAGGGATTAAAAGTATTCACAGCGAAAGCTTCCGTCCCAAGCTTCCTTCATGTAACAACCTTCATGGTCCTTCATGTAATAACCTGTAGGTTCCTGCATGTTGGAACACAAAACATAATGGGGATGATTTGGAAGGTGACACCAGGAAGCTCTTTGGGTTTGCAGAATTTCACGAGCACACATGGCACCACATGGCTGCAAGCAGCAGCATGGAGCACATGGCACTTCTAATAAAGATCCAAGTTCCTGAAGTCCAAATTGAGTCACCTTATTATTGCACAGATCTCTGTGCATAAAACACTTCAAGTAAATTCCCACAAAAATGGAGAAGGCAAAACTTAATATTCCTTATGATATAGAAACAGCAGTCACATGAACAAGGCTTTCTTGACTTGTGCAGACTGAAGTGGTCTTTAAAAAAAAGGAAGTGGTGTTTTATGAAGATCAATAGAGAAGAGAATCAGAAGTGCATAGAGAATATTCTGCTAGACCGTCTTTGAACTACAGTTCAGAACCTTTTGAAAATATAAAAAACATTCAAGCTTTCACTCATGCAGGACATTGTTTCAACTGGGCCTGCAGAATGCTATTTAACTTGAAAGTGTACCTCACAGATATCCTTGAGATGTTTGATATAGACTCGCTCCGTGTTCATTATTTCCTGGATAACATTGGTTCTCATCTGATCCTTGTTTTCAGCAATTTTTTGGCGGTGTTTACTAATGTCTGCATCTTGCTCTTCATCCTGAATGCTACCACAATTCTCTGGAAGCTCTTCCTGATTAACTCGCAGCTGCATTCAGAATAAAAAAGGCAAAAAGAGTATAACAACATGCTCCAAAAACAAATGGAGGAGGTTCAAAATATAAATGTACCTACTAGCATTAGAAGCAGCAGAATATAAATGTACCTACTATCATTAGAGTGAGCGCTATTGGGCTGGGCAGGCTCCTGCTTGCTTCCATGTGCGGCTTCCCGCTGGAGTGCGGGAAGCCTCATGTGGACGCATGGAGCCCGCCCAACCTGATGGCAGATGTCCCAGTCTGTGCAACATTGGCTGGGGCCAGCCGGCTTTGTGCCTCCATGTGGGGCTTCCAGCACCCCAGCAGGAAGCTGTACATGGAGACACAGAGCCCACCCAGCCTGCCTCTACAGTGCTAAGATCTGCACAGGCCAGAACAGAGCTAGTCTAGTCTGGTTTGAAGGTGCGTGCCAGTGGGCCAGGCTGGCTCCATGCCAGCACACACAGGCCCTGGGATTCAGACAGAGGTGCGCACTGCCATGGACTCTGCCTGCCACGGACATAATTGCCCCAAAGGCCTACCGCCTGCTGTTGCTGAGCCACTAGTGGTGGGGGCTGTGCACAACAAAGCCCACACCCGTCCACAAACCCCCCACACCCACCGATTCCCCTTTACAACACTCCCCACAAACCCTACATACTCCCATACCTACACACACCCACACCCTGCAACCCCACACCTTCACAAATCTCCCTACACACACCTCACACCCCACCACCATACAAAGTACCTGCATATATTTCTAAGGATGGTTCAAATAGTGTTGTATTTAGTTTAATTTATAAAAAACATAAAAGTGATTCATTTTACATAATTTTGAGTTTTTCTGCACATAATTTCCTGGGGTGTACAGAGTGGTTTCAGCAAGAGCTCTGATTTTCCATGATGAAAAACCCAAAATCAAGTGCCAAAATATTTAGCTATTTAGAATGTATTCTATTATAGTGATCGAGGCACTGGTAGCCTTTCATTTTAATCACAGATTTGGGGGGTTTTAATCAGAGAATTTGTGGTGTTTTTATTAGAGACTTTGTGATTTTTTATCAGAGAAAACCAGGATCCCTGATGATAACAACAGGTCTCCAAAACAGGCCCAAACTTGGAGAAGTATTAGGAACGAGCCCATTTTTTCATTGTTGGTATTAAGAGGCATAACTAGCCAGTATGGGCCCCATGCAGTACTGCCCCCTGGCTTTGCACCTCCCCAACAACAGCTCCAGCTCTAAGATAGCAGAACAGCAGCCATAGTACAAAAACAGCAGCTGGAGGTTCACTGCTGCTGAAAGTGATGAACCTCCTTTTCTTTTCTAGCCACTAACTCGCATGTTGAGTGGCTAAAAACCACCAGTTTTCAGTGGTAAAAATAGGAGGCGACAGCAACAACGAACCATTGGTCATGGCTCCTGCATCACATGCTGCTTCTCTGCCCTCCCTGTTGGTAGAGCCAGAACTGAAGCCACTGAAGGGAAGATGCAACATGTGGAGAAAGGGAGGAAGGAAGGTGGGGATGGGAGGGTGAGGCACACCACCCACCTTCAGCAGTGCTGGGGGCTTGTGCCCCACTCGTCCACCAATTGTTATACTACTTACTACTGGTATTTATAAGGCCCTCCTCACTGTAGCATCCCAAGCACATCATAGTTTCATAGTAGCTAGGGTCAGGAGGGACCTGAACAGATCATCTAGCCTGCCCCCCTACCACAGGCAGGAATGAATGCTGGGTTCACAAGACCCCAGACAAGTGATCGCCCAACCTCCTCTTGAATTTGCCCAAGGTAGGGGTGAGGACCACTTCCCTGGGAAGTTGGTTCCAGATTTTGGCCACCCTAACTGTAAAATATTGCCTTCTGATCTCTAACCTAAACCTATTCTCCATCAGCTTCTTACCACTGGTCCTTGTCACCCCAGGTGGTGCTGGGGAGAAGAGGGCTCTACCTATTTGCTGTTGATCTCCCCTGATGAGTTTGTAGGCAGCCACCAGGTCCCCCCTCAGCCTCCTCTTGCTGAGGC